ATTTAAACCTTTAATATAAAATAATTAATTAGATTTTGTAATTTAATATTTTCACGCTTAAAATATGAACAAGTGGAAAAAATATACTAGCTAATGGACTAGTTTTAGCAACGTATATAAGGATATGTTAGATCAATAATTTAATTGGTCCCATATAAAACTTAAATACACATGGTAGTTTGGATCAGGATACTATGTAAAAAGTTTTAAATTTGAATTTGGATGTTGTCAATGTAATTTAATGAATAAAAAAATATAATTTATCAAGTTATTTTAGAGTTTTTTTTAATTAAAATTAAGTTTCACCTCTATAAATAATATTACCTTTTAATGTAAATATTTTTATTACACAAATTATCAAGATGAAGTTTATTCTAATTTAATAATCCAAATTATACTTGAATTGATTTTTTCCCCCGAATTTATATGACATGTATATTTAATTAAAGACGATATTAATTATTTAAATTAAGTAAAATCATTATGATCGACAATTTTTTTTTATAAATATTTAATGTAATTTTATAGTCAACGATTAATCAAAATTACTGGCTAAGTTAAAATAACACTGTATTAATTGATCACATACTTAATGGTGCATTTGAATTGATATAACCCAACTTCCAAAAAGTAAATTCTTATAGGAGAAATGTTAAAGGTATATTATTTGACACACTCTTTTTATCACATTTTTTATTGTTTGAAATTTATTAAAAATCATAAAATTTGGTAAATGTATCCTATTTAATAATTTTTTAAAATAAATTTTAACTAATAAAAAAATGTAAAAAGTGTTGAGAGAAGTGTATTGTTGATCCTCTTTGTCTAATAAACCAAAACAACTCACACTTGAAGTTTGAAGGCTACTTGCTTGTTGAGTTGTTGGGATTCATGGAAATGATTAAATTTTGATACAAAAATTGTTTCTTCTTTGAAAAGGCACTTACAAAAATAATACAAATAAATAATTGTTTTTTGAAAATTAGTGAAACAAAATAGACACTATTTAAGATCGACAGTTATGAAATAATACATGTAAATTGTAAGTGTTAATTTTTTTTTCTATAAACATATTTCTTATATTATTTTAAAATGAATAATTAAAAATTAATATGCATTTATAGATTATGACTTTTATTTTACTGCAAGGGTTAAAATTTGGAAGGGTTAAATTTGAATAAGAATAAAGATGGCATAATTATGTTTAGAGACTGTCTTCCTTTTTATGTTAAGTTTGCATAAATAAAAATAAAAATAAAAATAAAAATAAAAATAAAAAATAAAACTTATATGAGATCATTGATGCCAAAGTAAAGTTACGTGAACGTGCACTCATCTTTATTACGACGTGGTCTTAGATCGTTGAAATGAGAACAAGCATCATGCATGTGTGTATTTTTAAGTGCAATAATTCGGATTGTCGTAAATTGAAACGTGGTCTTAGTATTTATTTAGTTTTATACGTTGTTTTGTTATAGCACTTTAGAATGTTTTTATTTGCCCAACCTGTTTGAAAGTGCGCAACACATTTTGTGAAAGCTCCATTTCCTCTGTTTTTATCTCGTTAACTAAACCTCCGTTTCTTACAGTGATTAAAAAAATTATAATCGTGTAAACAGAATTAAATTATATTCATCATGTCAATTGCACTTCCTTGATTATTGGCTCGTGGTAAAATAATGAAGGTGCATCATCTTAATTAATTATTATGGATTGGTGCTCGTTCCAATTGCGACAATTGGATATTGTTCTTCAAGAATGGTTCAGTTGGACGTCAGCAGACTCGTGGTGGAGTTTAGATGTCCATGTTATAATTAACACATTCCTTAAAAAAAAAATATTCCTTTATAATGTGAGAATTATCCCTTGTTTATATATTTACATTATTAAAATCTTATTTATAATTAATGTAAAATTAAAATTTTTTTAAATACAATTTTTTGTGTCCAATACTATTAAGTTTCGTATGATAAATTTTCATATCCAATATTATTAATTTGATATATGTATAAATGGTGGATTACCTTTTTTAAATATCGAGTGAGTTTGAGTTTAATTTAACTTTTTAAAATTGACTTAAAAATTATTATCTATTTATATATACTGTTATGACTTTATCTCTAATCAATGTGTAAATTAAGTTTTTTCTTATAATTCTCGCAAAAAATTAACTCTCTTTTGGTGGTGTCTTATTGAACCCAACAAAGCTTCATAATATATGTAAATAAAATGGCAAAATGTCATCAAGCGACGTAGTCCCTGAAAGCATGAAATTTAAGAGTCTCTGAAAGTGTAAAATGTTACTTGCTTTAGTCTATAGTTAAAAGAAAAATATAACTTAAATGATAATATTAATGTATATTTAAGAATTAAAGTGTCAATAAATGGTTATTTTTACGAACTTAAGTAAAACAATTAGAACTCTTAAAAGACTTATTTATAATTTCCTTACTTTCAAGAACTAAAGCACTAGCAACATATACTTTTAGGAACTCAAATAGTATTTTACCTGATGAAATTAATTCTCAACCTTCTACATAAGAGAGGTTTAGTTATTTATTTGATTGCGTAAATATTATCATTTACACTTATTCTGTACACTTAAAATAATTTATTTTAAACATTACACAAGCACTTTCAATTTTCTTTTAATCTATGCTATTAAAAAAATTAATGTCGTTAATGGTGGATGATGTAACATTATACTAACATGTGTTTTATATTTTAGTTTTTATACTTTTATCACTTTTACATTTTGATCTCTATACTTGCATAATATTTACTTTTTTAGTTTCTACAATTACAAATTATTCATTTTAGTTAGGCATGGCAATGAGGCGGGGTAGGGGCAAGTTTTACGTTCACCGCCCCCAGATTTAAACTGTCCCCGTGCCTGCCCCGATACCTGTTGGGTTAAAATTTGGGTATGCATTCCCATTCCCAGCGGGGTTCGGGTTTTCCTGTCCCGCCCCCGCTCCTACCTTTTTTTTTAAAATAAATATGAACAAATTTTAAAAAAAGTAAAAGAAAAGTAAAATAATACAAATTTTTACATATAAATATTTATAATTTTGGTTTATATATATATAAATAATTTTTTAATTATATTATTAAGCGGGACGGGGACGGGGGCGGGAGCAGGGACAGGGAGGGGATTAACATCCTCGTCCCTGCCCCCGCTCCCGATTTTATCAATTGGAGAAAATTCGAACCCGAACCCGATAAACACAGGTTTTTTCCGTCTTAATTAGGACGGGTTCGGGCGGGTACCCATGAGGGCAAATTAGATTGTCATGCGTAAATTTAGTCCTTATGCAACCAAACTTAGGATAAAACTATGTAAGATGAATGTTACCATCGATACTTCTTATAATGACATAAAGTTTTGCATATTTTTAATATTGTTAAACAAAACTATTGGATGTATGATGCATCAAACTCTTGCTGCTTCATTATATTTAATTATTTTAATTTTGTTTCATCAAATACTTGGGTATTTAGCAAAAAATATTATTCAAATACTTGAATATTTGTAGCACTACTGTATGAGCTATTTTTTTTATGCTTTAATCTTTGTTGTTAGCAGTCATATAACTTTGTTATCTATAAGTTTTAGAATACTACCACAAAATTGAGAATGAAAGTGTATAATATTTGTAACAACACTACATGTCACTATAATTAGTATAACACAATTACTATGCAACGAAAATATTAAATGTATTCAACTACCTTAGGATTATCATGCAACAATTCTTGGTCATTCATGCAATTCAATAATGTATGTGTGGAAGAAAATATGCACAAATGTTTTGATGATGCCAAAGTGATTATAAAAGTATTGAAGAAGAATCAAGGTTGAGCTAAAATAAGTTGATGCAAGAACAAGATCTCAAGAGTTACATAGATAAGTCTTGTCAACTTAGCTAATAATATAAAAGAATCTTTTAGAATTGCAAGTATGCTTGGCCTTGAGAATAAGTTTTCAAAAATCTCAAATTAATCTCTTTAAATTTAAGCAAGTTTTAAATCTTTTGAAAGTAAGTAAAAATGTTTTTAAAAGACTTAACAAAAGCTTTAAAGAATAGATTAAATCATTTCTTAAAAGAGATTTGTGAAAGAAATTATTGATATGAAGTTTTCTATATAAAAGTTTTTGAAACAATGCAAAAATATGTTATGGTAATCCATTACCAGACCTTGTAATCCATTACTAGAACAAGAAACTTCAAAGTTCAAATTCTGAATACAAAATGTGTTCTGGTAATCGATTACCAAACCTTGTAATCGTAAACCAGAAGATGAAACTTCAAAATTTGAATTTAAATGATACAACGTTTCAAACATTTTGAACTTAAACCATTGTAATCGATTACCAAGTCTTGTAATCGATTACCAGAGCCTATTTTCTGAAAAATTATAGAGAGTTACAACTCTTCATGAAAAGATATAACCTAAGAAACAATTGTCTATAAATACCTATAATTTTT